AACTGCTTTCATTGATTCAACGTGACTAATAAACACACGACTACGGCAATATACGGTTTATCAGAGTTAGGGATATGCTGGTATCAAATTCTCATGTTGCGATTAATTGCTAATGCTTTTATCACGGTATGCGGTATTATCACGATATTGAAATTTAGTTTTAAAAAGTGCTGTCATAATACAGTATAACAGGTTTAATAACTTTTTTCTTATAACAAAAATAACTGAACATTTAAATGCAATAAAGCAATACAGAAAAATGTATAAAGTTAAAAGTTTTACACAGATTAAAGTGCAAAAGAACTATAAAGACCAATAGGTATCACTTTACAATAAGACCTCATTAGTTAACCTTAGTTAATGCATTAACATTCACAATGAGCAATAGCTACATTTGCTACAGAAGTTATTAATCTTTGTTTAAAAAATACAAGTCTTAGTTCATGTTAGCTCATTAAATAACACAGTTGCAACTTTCGATTTTAACAACGTGTTATTAAATATTGTAATTACCTAAGATTAATGAATGTTCAGAAGAATTTTTCATTGGCAGTTTATGTTAACTAATGTTAACTAATGAAGCCCTAATGTAAAGTGTGACCGAACAATAAAGAATCAAAACACTTTCAAACAATATCTAGGGCATGTTGTAGTCCAGATTAAAATTTAAAAAAAGTTTGAAAATAAATAGCCTTTTAAGTCTAAATATTTAAGTATTTGGCGCTGTGATGAACATCATAGCAAATACACAAATCTGAATGGCTGTTTAAATCATTTAAACACGATTCAGAAACCGGAAGTAGTGCAGCTGCTTTGTTTACAGGGTTTCCGGGGTAAAGGCTGCATTTAAATGAATTATTATTATTATTATTATTATTTCTGCAGTTTAGCGCCATCTGCTGTCAGAGAGTGAAAGTGCGCTTTCATCCAGAGCGTCTCTCACATGTTCCGCCATGTGCTTCACGTCCGCACGCAGCATACAGCAGTGTTGTGCATTTTGACCAGTTTATGGGAAAAGTATTCTTAAAATGCATTCAAAATTCTGAATAATTTGTAATATATAATTATTCACGGTATTTAGAAGTGCCCACGATAACAATATCGTGCATATTCATTACCGTGATATATCGCATTACCGAATACCAGCACAAGTCTAGCCTGTATAACTTAATTTCTTCTGTGGAACAAAAAAGAAGAACTGTTTTTGTTCCCCCATACAATGAAAGTCATTGGGGTCCAAAAAAAAAAAACATTGGCGCATATTGGCTTTCATTTTATGGAATTTTTTATTTTTTTTTTCAAAATATCTTCATTGTGCTTTACATAAGAAAGAAAGACATGCAGGTTTGGAACAACATTAGAGTGAGTAAATGGTGACAGAATTGTCTTTTCTTTTTTTTTACAGGTCTCCTATTGGACCTAACCAATGTATATTAGTGTGTCCCAGACTGCACAGTCTCCTCTCCGATGTTCAATCTGGGAGAAGCGAATCTCATTTGGAGAATGGAGAGATATCCAATCAAGCGGTCTTGAGAGATGGATCAGATAACGATTAGATGACAGCTGCTTGGCCCGTTTGGCACACTTACAGTGTTTCACCTCTGAGAGTGCGTCTGCTGTTCTCTCATACTTCGGGTCTATCCCATCGGCGTGTGACAGACAGCGTCGTAGTGATGGAGTTGTGCAGTGTTGTGGTTCCACTCGCATGATTTAGTGGTGCGCTCCAAGAGGAGATTGTGCCATGGCTCTGCGCCACGCGCCACAGAAGTGAACCCAAGCCAAGCAGTGATCCTGGCGCTGAGACGCTCACAGGTTTGTAGATAATCAGAGGCTGCAGGAGAACATTGAATCTGCACATTATTATCATGCAGGGGTGTGTGCATCATAGATCAAGATCTGTGAGATATACTAATAGAGGCTTTATTACATGCCTGTTCGTTCAGCACTATGGAAACCTTTACACTCAGGGATGGATTGGCCATAGGGAACAAAAATACTTTTCCTGGTGGGGTGCTAGACTGTCAAAATTAAATTGTTTTAAAGAGAAACATTGTCTGACTGTCATTAAAATAAATGTGATCAAATGTGTTGCCAGTAAATAAAAACAAAAGATGAAAATGAAATCTGGAGTTATGAAGTGTTTAAACATGGGTCACTATGATCAAAACAATGCATCACATATTCCTGTAAACAAGATCAACATTTTATTTCTATTTTAAGGAGATTAATAGAGATTTATTTGTTGTCCACTTTGTGCTGCCTTTACAATATTGTGAGATACAATACTGTGCTTGTTAACAATATCATAAATTATTGTCATAAGTCATCAGGTATTTGTGATGAATAAATACTACTTTACAGTAGAGTTATGCATAATACACAGTGATAATGTTTAGCATTAACATCTCTTGCAGTGTTTTTGCTATAGGCAGGGTCCAAAATTAACACTCTTTAGGCACCGAATGCAAATTCAAATTGACATTGGCGAGTATGTGCCAATAGGCCTGTAATTTTATTAGGAACTGCAACATAATACATGGTTAAATTCAAACTGTAAAAACAATAGTCTGACCCTCACTGATTTGAGAGACGTGTGATTCAAAAGAAATACTAAAAACTGTCTACTCATTTTACCTCAGTGGAACACTGACTATCTAAAATGTAATGTTTATAAGTTTATTATACTCCATGTGGCCAGACATATGTGGAATATTCCTCACATTAGATCACTAAAATATATGAGCAATTGAAGTAGAGAAACAGGGACTGCCTCATGTTGTATGTGATGCTAAGAATGAGACAATGCGATGTTTGTTAGAAACATAGTAAGGAAAATTAGTTAATACCTTTGACATTGGGAGAAGAATATACTTTTTTTTTTTAAATCAATTAAAATAAAATAAATTACTTAATTTGGCTATATATAATGTAATTTTTTAATGTGTAATGAAATGAATCCGAAGTGTCCTTTAGTATGTAAGCATATATATCACAGCAAAACACACTACTGCTGCTCCATATCCAAAGACTTCTGTTGAATGGTCGTATGTAAATGAAATATTAGGCCTATCAAAATGGGATGCATCACTTGTAAAGCCTATTATCTCTCCTCTCATATTTCTTATCAGACCGCCATGGAAGGTGACTGGCAAGAGCGTTGGTTTGACTTTTAAAACAAACTCGCACAGCAGATGAATGTTATTAGTCTGAAAGATTAGCCTTGACAGGGGTGAATGAAAAGCAATGAGGTATTCGCACAGAGCTCTGCTCCCCCATACGGCAACGTGATGATAAAAGCCGACTTCAGCTGCACGGATCACAGATGCTGAACTCCACTCCAATACGGTGAGAGTTATTAAAAAGAAAGAACCGGAGGATTGTGCCGTTCTCACATTACGTCATAGCGACTGTCACAGAAAAGCTCTGGCAGTCCGCTCAACGCTTTGGACCTGAGGCCTCTTCTCCCATTAGCAGTTGAAATAAACAATTGATTCAAGTGTAAACACACGTCTGTCGTCACTTTTGATAAAACCCAGCAATTAAGATGCAGCTTTTTTGCTTTAAATGTTATCTGTTTATGTTCAAAGGGGTAATTCGATTATCGCTGACATTATAGTGTGTCTGACTCTAGTAGTCTTTTTTCTGTATATTTTCTTTGTCATCTGCAAGCAACAATGAGTACGCCTAAAAATCAAGAAAAGCCCTAAATGAATGAGGATCAGCTCAGACCTTATTGTGAACCTTGCGGTAAAGCAACAGAACATTAAATTTATAATGCTTTACATCATTTAAAGTGGTTTGTGTGCCGTGTGGTTTGAGAAGATAACCGCACTTTATCTTGTGAAAACCTGTGTAGTTCAGATGAGTCATCTGATGAAGCTTTGTTCGTTTCAGGGCAGTGGGGAGTCCCTTGGTCATGGACCCAAACAGCATCTGCAGGAAGACCAAACGTCTTGCGGGCAAGCAGGCCGAACTGTGCCAGACCCAGCCGGAGATCGTCAACGAAGTCGCCAAGGGCGCCAAGCTGGGCGTGCGCGAATGCCAATACCAGTTCCGCTTTCGGCGCTGGAACTGTACCAGCCAGAACAAGTACTTTGGCAAAATTCTGCAGCAAGGTGAGCATTTGTCCTAATGGAGCGAAAGGTTCTCCACCAAAGTTAATCAATCTTTGTCCCTGCTTATGTGTCAGCAACGTCTTTCTGAGGGCATGAACTCTGGCCCTGAGACCTAGAGACATGTGCCCTCATTTCAGCATGTTTGATCCAAGTTCAAGAGAGAACAAGGACAGCTGTTGTGTCCAGTTTACCTCAGTGCCTTTCTTCTGTGTTAAATTGCTCTCTAAAAACGATCCCCAAATTGCATAATCATTGATCCACCACATTTTTCAGCCCTTTGAAGAGTAATAAACTAACATAGCCTCTACAATTATTAGGCCATCCACAGGGTTCAACCCCTCCCTTCTCATGTTGGATTAACCTCGTTCAGTAGAGGCAATTATTCTACCTCACAACAGTGGTGTTGATGCTAAAATGTCTGGCATTATCTAATATTTTGGAAACGTTTTCCTTTAAAGATCTGACAAACAACCCAAACCCTAAGTGTAAATGCTCTCCAACACTGTAAATTTTAATTAGTAAACCTTACTTAAAGGGGTGGTTCACTGCTTTTTTCCTAGGCTTGATTGTGTTTATGGGGTGCAGTCTAACATGTGTTAATGCTTCGTTTTTTAAAAATGTAAAAATTATTTTTTTAAATTTAAGCATTATTTTTCACATAATTTACCTTTATTCCACACTGCTCTGTCCCTTCTCTGAGATACGCGCTGATCATTTCCTATTTTTATGAAGCCCCGCCCTCAGAAATAGGTGATGGGCTCTGATTGGTTAGCTAGCCCAGTGTGTTGTGATTGGCAAAACCGCCTCTAGTGCGCGTCTAAACGTCCTGCCCCTCACCTCAGCGGCATGTGCTCCGGTTGTATTGTAAACAACAGCGTCGTTAATATGGCTTATAAGTTTGAGCCTGATTGAGAAGCAGAGGATTTAATGGTAGGCTTTTAATGGTAGGCCTATGTTTTTTGTTTGTTGTTGTCTCATACTTTTAGATACAACTGCGGGGTTTATCTGGGTTTGTTACGTCACAAACTCAGGAAGTTACTTGTTGTAGTCCCTACCAGCCGTTTTTGTAGGCATAAAACTGCCAGAATTTTAAAAGACGTAACATTTACAAGCACAAAATGTACATTTTTGTATGTTTTTATTAATGCTAAAACGTACAATTTAGAATGCAATTGAAAACAAGCTACAACTGCTATTGCTCCTTTGCTATTGTGGTTTACACCAACAATGCTGTTTTAACTTGTATTACAAACATTTTGAAACAAAGCAAAAACAATCTGACTTAGGGTATGTTTTATGTAAACAGTGGAGGTAACAGTAGGATGAGTTTAAGTATGGCACTGGGGAGGCAGCACAAGTTGTCAATGGTTCAAAAAGTCACTTTAGTTTTAGTGGGTTTTTTTCCGAGTCGAGTATCACACTTTGAACGAACCTGTAAAGGATTTTTACGGCATTAGGGTAATCCAAATGTACCAGTAATCCAAATGTACCATATGACACAGTCCAGAAGCAAATAGTTGAAGTAGATTCTGGAGACTGTTCTTTGCAGTACTTTCCTAAATAATGATGGCAGAAGACACAGGGTCAAAAAGATTTGGACAAGTACATCTTTATCTTTGATAGTCAGCAACCCAATCAGATACTAGTGCCCATGCTGCATCAACATTAGACATCTGTATAAAACTAAACAAAAACTATATTAATAGGGAAATGTGGATTATGTGTCCTGCCTACAATGCCATGCCATTGGGTTAGTTCACCCAAAATTGAAATTTATGTCATCAATTACCCATGACTTTCATTCATTTTCGGAACACAAATGAAGACATTTTCAATGAAATCTGAGAAATTTCTGTCCTTCAACTGAATGTCTATTCACCCAAAACTTTAGACAGTTGATCATTGTAGCAAAGTTCGTAGTTCGGGAAGAAGGAGGCGGGAACCGGCGAACAATCAAACAAAACTTCAATAATAAAATAAACACAAAACAGCGCGACAGCCCCTCGCGGATGACTGCCGCACACAAACAGAACCAAAACACAAAATAAAGTCCAGGCCTGGTCCTCTCTCGTCTTTCACTGTCGTCACTCCTCCCTTTTATCCTTCCGGATCTCCTCCATGGGACTCGAGACCGGTGAGTGGCGCAGGTGTCGTGCATTATCACTTACTCCACCGGCCTCGCTCCGTTCCCACGGCTCTCGGCCCCGGCCCACTCGTCACAATCATAAAGTGATCATGTCTATTCAGAAGACTTGAGACGCTTTTCCACCATCAGGCCAAACTATTCTTGTTGCTTAACCATTCCATTCTGTGCCGATCCAACCCAAGCCGATACAAATATTGTCTCATTTTTCACTGTTGGGCTGATAACAGAGCCCTTTGGAATGCACACAAATGTGTCAGTTGTTTCCTTGGTAATGCAAGAGTTAAGATACGGTATGAGATGTAAATTGCGACTGTGTGTTTAAGGATAAAATATTTATTTTAATGTTACTATTAAATTGTGTTTATTTAACTCAAATAGCAAACAGAGAAAATGCTGGCTAGGCAACAAACAGATGACCAATCCTGAGCAGTGACGCCACTACAGGCATTCTACAGCAAGGTTGGCTAAGAATTCAAGACCAAGAATGGTTTGTAATCAGACCATGCCTAACCAAGTTCAAGTGGAAATATGACTGGAACTAGTCCTTACCATTCTTAGAACCGTTTGGCCCAAAAGTAGAAAAGTGCCTTTGGATTAAACTGCTCCATTTATATGGATATATTTTATGATTTTTTTCTCTTTAAGAACATTTTGAAGTGTCAGAGTTTTGGGTTAACAGACTTTCAAAAGAGGACCAGAAATCTCATTTCTTTTTTTATTAAAAATATCATTTGTTTCATGAAGAAGAAAACACAATTTTTATGGGTTTGGAATGACATGAGGGAGATTAAATGGCAGAATTTTCATTTTTGGTATGTATAACATTAATCTTTATGTAAATATCTTAGTAATTTACCAGCAAATACAAAGGAAATTTTCCACAATTGTGTGCTTCTATTTCCTTCTCAATTATGTGTAACTATGAGAACTTACAAGGAGGTTAGTTGTAGAAGTCTCTGGGGTAATCACAAAGTAAAACAGGTAGGCCTCAGATGGGTGTTCAGTGCTGTCAAATCTGGGCTCTAGAATAAAAAAAAAAGTAAACAAAGTTTAAGACATTCAAAAGTTACAGTACAACTATGTATGACAAAGTATCAATAAAGAAGTCATTGACACTGTTTATTTTAAAATATTGAAAACAATTTAGGTAGCAACATACATATTTTAGGGGTTGTAGAGTGTAAAGTGTCCTCTTAGATCTGTAAAAATAAATAAATAAATAAATAAATACAATGGTTACAGGTATACTGCATCTGCAAGAAATTATTTGAAATTGTAAATATTGTGTAGAACATTGAGTCAAAAACTGCTCTACTGCTGGATATAACAGCTTAAGATGAAATACCTCACCTCCAGTGTACTGAGGCCCGTGCTGATGAGACCAATGTTCATAGAAGGCAGTTGCCATAAGCACTTTTCCTAAATATGACAAATAATTCTTCTATTTCCATGTTGTAAATTTTTTACTTAAAACCAATATGCATTTGTTGCATCAGCTTAGAATAGAAAAATATAAAACTAGCTACAAAGTTTTAAGTTTGAGAAAGTAAAAAAAAAAAAACTTTAATTCACCAAAATACGCCACAAGTTCTAACAGCAGAATAGCTCAGATCTTTGATGCCTGTTAGCTAACACCGTGTCTATAGCGGATACTTCGGTCATGTCACACCGAAACAGCTGGAAGCTGTCCACACTGGACGCGACAAAGCTAGCGTTGCAAATACCCGCATCTAGTGTGAATAGAATCACTGATTATAATGGGTTCTATTGTCTTTTGTCGTGTTGGGTTGTGTCTGGTGTCCACTTGCGTCTGGTATCCACACGGAGTAAGTCAGTTGCCCTGCTTCTTTTCATGTGGACCCTGCTTCTTTTTTACAGTGAAGATGCATTCTTGATGGATGGTAATCTGTAGTTCAGGCCTCAGTTTACAATGAGAACTTTAGTAACACTTTATTTTGATAGTCCACATAAGTAACCTTGCAACTACATGTCAGCCACCAATCATTAGAGTATTAGTAGACTGTCTGCTTAATGTCTGCTAACACTTTGTTTTGATGGTCCCCAACAGACATTCTGTGCATGTCAACTTATTCTACTAACCCTAATCTAACAGTCTACTAATACATCCTTTTGGCTTCTGATGAATATCATGAGCAAATCATTAGTAGTGAATTTGATGATACATGTTGCTCACCTTTTCTGTTTGTATGCAGTCTAATTGGTTGTCACCAGTAGAGGGCTCTATTTTGGCTCAACGTGCTCTGCCCTGAGCCAGCAGGGTATGAGATTAAGATGGTCAGTACAATTGTTTGCCTAATTTCACATGAGATTTCTCTTTAGACATGCCCATATCCCAGTGATGTGGAGAGATGCAGGCTTGTCATATCCAGGTCTGGAGCTGAGAGTTCACAATTTAGCCTCCAGTGTGGACGTGTTCACACACGGATTGCAACATGATTCCTCTGTCTGCATCAGCCCATCTTAGACTGAGCACTGGAGACTGCCTCACAAAATGGAAATTAATCATAAATTCCTCAGTGTCTATAAGTGAGGCTTAAGTGCTCTTCTGTTTTCATGCATTTACCACAATTACCGTGAGACTTGGCTCTAATGACCACGTGTCAGAGCTGAGATCTCCGCTAAGGCAGGTTCACTTCCTGCACCGAGTGATATTTGTACAAAGTGTCTCACATATTTCTTCCATTGCTAAATAACTGGGGGCTATTTTCTTCCCCTATTCAAACATGTAAACCAGAGCTTGTTTTCTTGGCCCAAGGGAGCGGCCTCCTAATGCCAGAATTTGCTGGAAATGCTGCCGGCTGCTCTTACATGTTGTCTCTGAGGTTGTAATGAA